GACCCTATAAATCTTAGGCAGTTTTATTAACCTGCTAAAAATTAACATAAGACCGCTTTCCGAATTGAAATTAATGAATTTTTGGCTTAGTTACGATTTTATTCAATTTTGATTTGCCGAAAAAAATTCATATAAAAATGTAGTTCAATGGTATTGCCCCTTTAGTCAGAAGCTTAAAAGAAAGTGAAGGAGTCATTTCCGACCCTATAAATCTTAGGCAGTTTTATTAACCTGCTAAAAATTACCATAAGACCGCTTTCCGAATTGAAATTAATGCATTTTTGGCTTAGTTACGAATTTTTTAAATTTTGATTTGCCGAAAAAATTTCATATAAAAATGTAGTTCAATGGTATTGCCCCTTTAGTCAGAAGCTTAAAAGAAAGTGAAGGAGTCATTTCCGACCCTATAAATCTTAGGCAGTTTTATTAACCTGCTAAAAATTAACATAAGACCGCTTTCCGAATTGAAATTAATGCATTTTTAGCTTAGTTATGAATTTTTTAAATTTTGATTTGCCGAAAAAATTTCATATAAAAATGTACTTAAAATCGATGAAAAAATGGTATTGCCCCTTCAGTCAGAAGCTTAAAAGAAAGTGAAGGAGTCATTTCCGACCCTGTAAATCATATATATTCTTGATCAGCATCAACAGGGGAATCTTTCTAGCTATATTCGGACGAAAAAATTTTTTTTCAGAAATTTCCCATTTTCGGAAAAAAAGGAAAGGGGTTACATCATGAAAATTTGCGAAAATCGGACAAAAATTCACTTTTTAAATGGAGTATGCAGTTTTATTAACCTGCTAAAAATTAACATACAAACGCTTTCCGAATGGAAATTAATGCATTTTTGGCTAAGTTATGAATTTTTTAAATTTTGATTTGCCGAAAAAAATTCATATAAAAATGTACTTAAAATCGATGAAAAATGGTATTGCCCTTCAGTCAGAAGCTAAAAAAGTAAGAGTCATGACCTAAATTAAAAATGTAAAATTAATAAGACCTTTTTTTTTTTTTTTTTTTTTTTTTTTTTTGGTTTATAAATTATTCATGGTATTGCCCCTTAGTCAGAAGCTTAAAAGAAAGTGAAGGAGTCATTTCCGACCCTATAAATCTTAGGCAGTTTTATTAACCTGCTAAAAATTAACATAAGACCGCTTTCCGAATTGAAATTAATGCATTTTGGCTTAGTTATGAATTTTTTAAATTTTGATTTGCCGAAAAAATTTCATATAAAAATGTACTTAAAATCGATGAAAAAATGGTATTGCCCCTTCAGTCAGAAGCTTAAAAGAAAGTGAAGGAGTCATTTCCGACCCTATAAATCTTAGGCAGTTTTATTAACCTGCTAAAAATTAACATAAGACTGCTTTCCGAATTGAAATTAATGCATTTTTGGCTTAGTTACGAATTTTTTAAATTTTGGTTTGCCGAAAAAATTTCATATAAAAATGTAGTTCAATGGTATTGCCCCTTCAGTCAGAAGCTTAAAAGAAAGTGAAGGAGTCATTTCCGACCCTATAAATCTTAGGCAGTTTTATTAACCTGCTAAAATTAACATAAGACCGCTTTCCGAATTGAAATTAATGCATTTTTGGCTTAGTTATGAATTTTTTAAATTTTGATTTGCCGAAAAAATTTCATATAAAAATGTACTTAAAATCGATGAAAAAATGGTATTGCCCCTTCAGTCAGAAGCTTAAAAGAAAGTGAAGGAGTCATTTCCGACCCTATAAATCTTAGGCAGTTTTATTAACCTGCTAAAAATTAACATAAGACCGCTTTCCGAATTGAAATTAATGCATTTTTGGCTTAGTTACGAATTTTTTAAATTTCGGTTTGCCGAAAAAATTTCATATAAAAATGTAGTTCAATGGTATTGCCCCTTTAGTCAGAAGCTTAAAAGAAAGTGAAGGAGTCATTTCCGACCCTATAAATCTTAGGCAGTTTTATTAACCTGCTAAAAATTAACATAAGACCGCTTTCCGAATTGAAATTAATGCATTTTTGGCTTAGTTACGAATTTTTTAAATTTTGGTTTGCCGAAAAAATTTCATATAAAAATGTAGTTCAATGGTATTGCCCCTTTAGTCAGAAGCTTAAAAGAAAGTGAAGGAGTCATTTCCGACCCTATAAATCTTAGGCAGTTTTATTAACCTGCTAAAAATTAACATAAGACCGCTTTCCGAATTGAAATTAATGCATTTTTGGCTTAGTTATGAATTTTTTAAATTTTGATTTGCCGAAAAAATTTCATATAAAAATGTAGTTCAATGGTATTGCCCCTTTAGTCAGAAGCTTAAAAGAAAGTGAAGGAGTCATTTCCGACCCTATAAATCTTAGGCAGTTTTATTAACCTGCTAAAAATTAACATAAGACCGCTTTCCGAATTGAAATTAATGCATTTTTGGCTTAGTTACGAATTTTTTAAATTTTGGTTTGCCGAAAAAATTTCATATAAAAATGTAGTTCAATGGTATTGCCCCTTTAGTCAGAAGCTTAAAAGAAAGTGAAGGAGTCATTTCCGACCCTATAAATCTTAGGCAGTTTTATTAACCTGCTAAAAATTAACATACTAACGCTTTCCGAATTGAAATTAATGCAGTTTTGCCTGAGTTATGACATTTTTAAACTTCGTTTGTCAGATAAAAATTAATGAATAAATTAATACATATTGCAGTATTGTAATTTTAGTCAGACGCTTGCAAATGACCAATTCTGCTTTGCTTTAAATACATATATTTTTCTTATACAACATATATATTCTGCTTAGACTCTATTTTAATTTAAATAAAGAATGTGAAATATTTCCTAATTTCCCGGCTTTCTTCGCATTATTATCCTCTTACGCTTGAAGTGCTTCTGCCAGACAATGGCAACGGGGACCTGGCAATTTCTTTCATTTTTTCCTTATCCCCCCTGGATCAACCAAAATAAAAACACAAATTAAAACGACAAAAATAATGTGCCTTAATCATTTGTGGGCGTGGTCCGGCAGGGGGAGGGGATTTGGCAGATCGCACAGAATAGAAGTTGCGAAACAAAAGGCGAAACTCATCAGTGTCGTTGTCGCTGAGACATGGCGCGCAGTGTCCTTTTGTCCTTTTGTCCTTTTGCGGGGCGTGTGCCAAGGATTCGCCGGGGCAGCCCATTGTCTCGATTGTGCCTGAACCTACCTAGCCCCGGAGTTATGTATGTCACAGGGAAAAAATCTCGCAGGGAGCTCTCGCCCGACGACATCTAATTTCTTTGGACATTGTACGTGTGGGTTTTTTAATGCTGCCATATGCACAACCCCTGGATCTATTTTCGTTTTTTTTTTAATTTTTTATTTCGCCAAATTGAAAGAACTCGAACAAAACGACAACAAGTACATGTACATACATATAATAATAATAATAAAAGGCCTCAAGACTCTGACTCTGACTCTCTCTAGCTGGCGACAGATTGAAGTCACTCAACTTGAAATAAAATGCGACAGCGTTGAACAGTTGCACAATCAAATGGGGACAATATGCAGGGGATATCCTGGAAATATCCTGTGTTAGGAATGCTGGGTAGATAAGACAATACAAGGAGTTTGTAAATGTATTTAAGGAATTCTTAGGACAGTGTTAGGAACTACAGGAAGGGCAACCCAAGGATACCCAATCGATCATAACAACTCTTGAAATATTCGCATTCATCGATAGATTCAAACGATACTTATAGGTAATGTTTTAGAAAGTTTCAAGCTTCTAACTAAAATTATAAATACGGTATTATTGTAGTCTATAATAATAAAATGCTACTTCAATCACATCTCTTCTGTTTTGGTTTTATTTTCCCCTTTTCATTTTTTGTCAAACATCATTTTTAATTTGAAGCCCCGAAGAGCAATGAACAAATTGGTGTTAGCAGAAGCCAAGTGCTTGGGCACAAAGAATAGAAAATATCCGAGTTCTGGAAGGAGGGAAAATTATGTGGAAGGAGTTGGACTTGGACTAGGACTGGGGTTGAACCTGCTGGCCCGCAAATGAAAGTGCGTCAATCAACCCTTTCCAGCTGAAACCCCACTCCAGCCACTATCCATAAAAAGCCATAATTGCTATGTAGATGCTATGACTGTCCAAGTGACCACTCCACTAATTGCGGCAAGTGACTAAGCAGAGGACAACATCGTTGAGCGGCAAATGTCAATATATCACAAAATACCAATTTCACCTCACTTCTCAATCAAAATTATTATGACCGGCCATCCATGGGATATACAATATCGAAATGGTGTATAGAAGTCACCCCCAAGGGAGCTGCGTTTTGTGTAGATTAGTTTAGCATAGTCAGAGACCGGAGTCAAAGGCAATTAAAATGAAAAAGTGTGTCCTGTCCAGGACATTGCGTGCAGTGGCCTCATAAGGCATTTCCCCGGGTTGGGAAATTATAGAAGCCGGTGGAGGGGAGGGCGAGTGCCTGATGGTCAGCTTTAAGCCGCCAAAAAGTTAATTGCAACTTAAAGAGGCGCAGCAGAAGGGCCAAACAACAGATTTTCGGGCGCGGCCGCAGGACAAACAAATTTCCGACCATCACACAAAATATATGTTGACCAAAGGAACACAGAAGAAGAGGAGGCCAGCAAGGAAAACAAGAAAGTGGAGCAGAATTGTGAAAGGCGAATATTTGCATACCTTACCAGGAAAACAATAATAATAAATATAGTAATTATTACTAAAATATTTCTGCATCACCTTTGGGCTTCAAATAACAAGCTTATTATATTTAAAACAGTTTACTACAAATGTTATTGTATAACAAAACACTACAAAAATTTTCCAGCTATTCATAGACTGACTATCCTAAATATATTTAAGCTTTTACCTACATAAAGGTAGAATACTAATTAATGTCTCACATTTAAGTTTCTTTAGATTCTTGCTTTCAATTATTTTGTCCCTAAAAATGATTACACCCCAGTATAAAGGGTATAAAAAGGATATTCCATAAAAAAGGGAAAGTTGACTAACCTGACTGTCCATTTTTTGGGTCCTGTGTCTGTTTTGTTTCAGTATTTTTATTTTCCTTTTTTTGTTGCGCCTCGACTTCCGGTCAGGATACGGTTCTAATTTGTTTACAAGCGCTCGTCGCCGGGCGCAGCTTTATTTTTGCTCCTTACACCTAGAAAAATAATGAAAATATATTATTTTAAATATTTATTATAAATCTTAATAAACTAATTATATTTAAATTGAGTTGTGGGATGAAAAATCTTTTTGAGCAAGCCTCATCTTCATCTTTAAGATCTTTAAGATTGATTTTGGAATTAAATTTGTTAGTTTATTGGTAGCTGAAATATCTTTCTTTTAGAATAATTAATTATATATTTAATAACTCCCAAGATCTTGTTTAATTTGCTTTAAAAATATATACCCAACTTTATTTTCCTATGTAAATTATGTTACCAACTTTCAGGCATCTCTCGTCCTGACGTGCTCCGTGCACATTATGCGCGATGCATGGCGTCCGATAAGGATCCAGGACTCGCACTAGGACTCGCTCTAGGACTCGCACTCGGGGTTGACTTTCCGACTTTCTATTCCCTGCCCCGACAAATGATGTGAGCAACAATGGGCATTGCGTGATGACCTTATGATGACACCCAGCTGATTATAAAGAAATATCCCGGTCTTTGGGATTGCGTGCTCGCTTCAAATTCAGCGGAAATGTTTGCAGCAACGGTAAATTATGTAACACACGCTGGACAACTGCCTTGGAGGAGGAGGAGGAGGAGGAGGAGAAGGAGAAGGTCCTTCGGTCGGGGGTGGCTTCACTTCCATTCAAAATCAGCGGAGCGCAGTGGCCTAAGCTTCTGTCCTTAAGCGGCTTTGCCGATGCTCATTTGCACGTATAACTCAACGAGACTTCAACTGGAGTAAACTCAGCTCGGTCTGAATTGTAGCCACAGGAGCAGCGAAGCGTCAAGGCTTAAGAATACACAGGGAGAAAATGCAGTCAGGCTTGGGATTTATGGTTTTTAGAGTCATAGTTTACAGGGATAACGAGGAAGTTGTCTAGATCAGCATCATTTAAAGCTTCGTTTGTATTTCAAGACTTTAAAAAATCATGTTACTATAATACTTTTAATAAACATTTTCATTAACTATAAGATTTCTACGGAAACTATGACTTTAACTACATGTCAGAGGTGGAGATCTGGAATTACGTACGGATTTTTGGAGTGTTCCATTCGTGCCACTATTTGTCCCCATGAACCATGGAACCATTTCTCGGAGCTTTGCTTTCAGCTGCAAATTTATGACCACATAAATAACATAACAGAAAAACCAGTGGCAGGCGGAGCCGCACAGAGAGAGAGAAAGATAGCACAGCCCGAGCAAACCCACCGAAAAATCCCCAATAACCACTGAAATTAAAGGTAAAATCGAAGATGGAAATACCTAGGAAAAGTCCAACAAATATTCAGAAATTATTTTTCAGACAAATGAGCTGGGAACTTGGAATTACTAAAAAGAAAACGCTGTAAATATTCTAAAAATTACTTCAATGTCTTTAGAAATACTTTGCTCTTTAGGTAAGTTAAGTTATGGTTTCAAATAATTAGGAAATATATATAAATATATTTTAACTAACTGTATCTGAAAAAACGGCATAGTTTTAATATAATCCCATTCGTGATTAATAATAAAATGTTGTATTTAATTAGTAAATTAAACTATAAAAAATGGTACATACAATCAAATCAATTAAAACCACACAAAATCTACAATACAATTGAGTTAATATCTCATTTTTCATTTTCCGTTTCTTTTGTTTTTTCCTGAACTTTTATATGAATATATCAATGTATCCCTTGAGGTAATTACTTAATAAAAAGTTTGTCATATCCCTAAAAACCCCAACAGTCGGATAGTCTCTGTATGTAGGGTATGGTGAAAAAACCTGCTGCTAGCATTCATTCATTTCATATGCATATTTATAGCTTAAATAAATAACAAATAATATGGCTATAAATTTTGCCACTCTCTTTTGTTTAATAACTAGCCAGAGAGACGGAAAGCGAGAACAGAAACGGAAGAATATACTCGTATATATATTTACATAAATATGTGTGTATATCTTTGGTTTTTCGATAAATATTAAATATGCATAAATAAAAATCAACTCGACAAATGAACAGCGAAAATGTTTGTTTGATGCCAAAAAGTGCCACACACAAAACTAGTTTGAGGCCATTACCAAAGGGGGGGAAAGTGGGGAAAAACTCTACAGACTCGAGGGAAAATTCATGACAGTTTTCTGGGGCATAAATCAGTGCCATGTGTGGCCTTTTGCTATATAGTATCTGCTGCTCCTGTCCTGATAACAAGGCCTCGGCAGAGATAACACCAATTTGTTGTAGCTAAATCTTTATCAGCACACTTTCGTGGCTGGTTTTTCACGGAATTTCCTCTTTTTTTCAAGTGAGAGATAAATTAAAACCATGTAAGTGGTTAATTAAACGCGTTCACGAATTATAGCATATGTTGTGGGGCGCTCCCGATAAGATATAGTAACTGATAGATAGGATTTTGGAATATTCTGCGGGTAATAAACTATGCAGCTTAATGGGTGACGAAAATTAACCAAAAGATAGTGAATAATAATATTTTTAGAGATCATTTATCATATAATTAAATATAAAATAGAAAGAAATACATAAATGATTTATAATAGATCGAAGGTATGTGTTAAAACTATTTCTAAGATTTATTCTATATTAAACTTGTTTGTATTTATTTATCCAAATTTCTTACTTAACCACTTGGTTTTATTTTTTCTGAAAGCCTTTACCTTTTAACCAAATACGATGCAATTTCTTATTATGACTTTAGGATATATTTGCCTTTTTTATTTATATTTTTTGTGGCTCAAGCTTGAGGCAAAAGCGTTGACAGCATTTTGTTGAAATGGCAAATAGCTTGAGGCGGTAGAAGGAGCAGGATATGGGGGACTCCCAGGAAGGGGCATCATTGGATGTTGTAAGGCATTCAATTTTCATCATTCGCCATATCTCTTTGTGTGTGTAAACTTCTCATGATGATGATGATGATGATGATGATGCTCTGGAATATTTTCGGTCCCTGTCATGCAGATGTATGCGTTCGGATATGTACATTGTACAATATTGCATAAATTATTAATGCCAACTTTTATTTATTCCCATTCTTTCGTACGAATGCGATATTTTTACATATTTGAAGACAGTTGGCAGTCGGCAAACAGATATATATGAGAGCGGGGGATATATATACATATGTATATATGGACAGTCGGTGGCTCCGTCACTCAGTCGGTCGTCATATTTGCGTGTTTGCATTTAATCATCGAAAGCCATGCACTGCCAGCACTTGCCACGCCCACAACCCTTCCACAGTGGGCGGACAGACAGCCAGAGAGTCCCTCAAAAATTCCACCACCCCCGCGTCCTTAGCCAACCCCCTTTTTTTGTAACATTTTCTGCGTTATTTGCATTCGCTGGAAGTTATTCGACGCTTTTCCTTCTTTTTTTTGGTCTCTGCTATATTATTTTCATTTTATTACTTTGACTGGGAAAAATAATAACAACAAAAAAAAGGAGTCAGCATAGCCAAAAGTATTTGGTTTATATGGATAAGAAGGGGGAAGTATTTGAGCTTAAATATAACCAAGGGAATTAAGTTTGAAAAGTATATATACTTTATAAAGTAATTCCTATCCTATATTATTATTAATGTACTATCTTAAACTTGCTCATAATATTATCCTGACTTTTGAGAATACCTAAATCCCTTTCATTATTTGTCATCTGATTCCAACTATTTTGTTTGCATTTCCAAGCAGATTATTGTAATGAATTGCTCTTGTCTCTCTGCCTCCATTCAGAGTCCAACTTTTTGGTAATCGGAAAAGCTTATCGAGTGGGGGAAAACCACCTACGCATTCTCTACCCCTATTATTTTCCGCAATGGAAACAACTCCATCAATAAACCAGGTAGCAACAAGGCTACAGAACACTCGAAATCGAAATCAAAATCGAAATCGGGGCCAACAACAATGAGGACGACAAGTCTGTCAATTAGTTATCATGTTCAGTGTCAGCACAATATGATTTTGATTTAATTTTATGGGCTCAGGGCACGAAGCTGAAACTGCAGTAGTTGTTGAGGGGGATATGTATTCGCATTGTGATATTAATAATAATAGAGCCAAAAGGCTCATATATTCCATATGCTGGCCAGAAATACACAGGGAAAGAGTTGAATAATTGGTTGTGAAGGAAATGGTAATTAACAGGAGATGAACTGGGAATTACTAGGAACGATTTCGAAAACTAAACCATTTAAAATAAATATTTTGGGTCACTTATCTGAAGAATATATAATTTAAAGTCAGTGTACATAATAATAATAAGTATCAAAATAATTGATAGACAAAAGATTTCTTCTATTATTATAATAAATAGTTAAGAAACCAGGAATAATATTCTTGAAATCATCAAAATGTCATTAAGTTAAATCACACATTCAGTTTCTTGGTTATATTAATACTCATATTGCACGTATAATATTTACAAAATACCTTTTCACAATAAAATAAACATTTTAAAGACCTACTATACAGATTTTTCTCTGTGTAAAAAAGATACACAGACACAGAGGAAATGCAGAGCTATTGTCCACCGTACTGATCCTTTGTTGCACCGCAAAACTGTTCCAGTATTTTTGCGTGTTTATAAAAAATTAAAAATAAAAATCTCTGCTTTCGTTGGTGGGGGTGGAAGAAACCACATGCCACGCCTCCCGCCATACGCCCACGCCCTCTTTTGTGTGTGTTTTTTCTTTACATTTGGTTATATTTTACATTTCGCATGCCATTCCATACCACATGCCACATGCCACTGCAGGAACAACCAACAACGCCAGCCTTTGTCCACTAGACCAATGCCGCACATTCTGATTAAACTTGGCTTTTACACTGAGCTGGCCAAAACACAGCCATTGTTGGCAAATTCTTATTGTTATTCGTGCTGTTATTACTTGGAATTTTGAATTTTAAAAAGGCCTTTTTGGTTATTAACTATTGTAGGGGAAATGAGAGATTAGAGAGTCTTGTATGATAATACTGTATTGTATTGATA